AATTGAATTGAATTGAATTGAATTGAATAATCATATATATATGTACACACACACAATATATTGCCAAAAGTATTCACTCACCCATCCAAATAGTCAAAATCATGTGTTCCAATCACTTTCATGGCCACAGGTGTATAAAATCAAGCACCAAGGCATGCAGACTGTTTCTACACACATTTGTGAAAGAATGGGTCGCTCTCAGGAGCTCAGTGAATTCCAGCGTGGTACTGGGATAGGATGCCACCTGTGCAACAAGTGCTGTCGTGAAATTTCCTCGCTCCTAAATATTCCACAGTCATCTGTCAGTAGTGTTATAACAAAGTGGAAGTGAATGGGAATGACAGCAACTCACCCACAAGTGGTAGACCACGTAAACTGACATAGCGGGGTCGGCGGATGCTGAGGCACATAGGGAGCAGAGGTCGCTAACTTTCTGCAGAGTCAAGACCTCCAAACTTCATGTGGCCTTCAGATTAGCTCAAGAACAGTGTGTAGATAGAATGCTTCATAGAATGGGTTTCCATGCTAGAGCAGCTGCATCCAAGCCATTAATCACCAAGTGCAATGCAAAGCGTCGGATGCAGTGTTGGAAAGCACGCCACCACTGGACTCTAGAGCGGTGGAGACGCGTTCTCTGGAGTGATGAATTGCGCTTCTCCATGTGGCAATCTGATGGACAAGTCTGGGTTTGGTGGTTGCAAGGAGAACGGTACTTGTCTGACTGCATTGTGTCAAGTGTAAAGTTTGGTGGATTATGGTGCGGGGTTTGGGCTTGGTCCCTTAGAGCCAGTGAAAGGAACTCTGAATGCTTCAGCATACCAAGCGATTTTGGACAATTCCATTCTCCCAACTTCGTGGGAACAGTTTGGAGATGGCCCCTTCCTCTTCCAGGATGACTGTGCACCAGTGCACAAACAAGGTCCATAAAGACATGGATGAGAGAGTCTGGTGTGGAAGAACTTGACTGACCTGCACAGAGTCCTGACCTGAACCCGATAGAACACGTTTGCGATGATTTACAGCAGAGACTGAGAGCCAGGCCTTCTCATCTAACATCAGTGTGTGACCTCACAAATGCGCTTCTGGAAAAATGGCCAAAAATTCCCATAAACACACTTCTAAACCTTGTGGACAGCCTTCCCAGAAGAGTTGAAGCTGTTATAGCTACAAAGGGTGGACCAATGTCATATTAAACCCTATGGATTAAGAATGGGATGTCACTTAAGTTCATATGCGAGTCAAGGCAGGTGAGCGAATACTTTTGGCAATATAGTGTATATATTTTTTTTTTTCAGAGAGACTGAAAATACAGGTTCCAAAGTGAGTATATGTGATCACTGACACACAAGTTACAAAACCCATGACAACTAAAACTGAAGAGCACACCAAGAAGCAAGATTTCCAATAAACCCAACTGCATAAACATGGCTGTAAAATGACCTGTGAACACCAGAATATGTTAAATTTTGGACCTTTAGGCTGTGTCTATCTGCATTTCCATCATGGTTCCACATGGCGTTGCCAGATAAACTGAGAAAACCTAAATGTGAGACTTCACAATGACAGACAGGGATGCAAGAAGATAAAAAAAACAGTGGAAACCGTGGAAAAAGACGTAATCAGGGAATGCAGTCATTGGTCAGATAAGACCAAGAAGAATTTGGTGGGGTCCAGGAAGTTTGCAGAACCTGGCCAGGACTGCCACAGTGACTGTATAGTCCTGACAATGAAGCACAAAGGTGGGAGTGTAATGATATGGGCCTGTATGAGAGCGAAAAGTGTTAGGAAGATGACATTTATTGATGGCACCATGAAGACATGTGGATATACCAATAAACTGCCTGACAAGATGACTCCCAGTCTGCAGAAGCTTGGCAGAAGAAGAATATTTCAGAATGATAACCATCCAAAGCACTGCCAAAATCACACAAGAGTTTCTAAAGAAGGATAAAGTGTTGCCCAGGCCAAGTATGTTGTCTGACTTGAACCCAATAGACTATATTTGGTAGGCTTTAAAGAGAAGGTAGAGAAGATACAATCACTTCAGCAAAAAGCAGCTTTAAATCTCTCCAGAAATTTGTGCAACGCTGACATTGTCCACGCCAAATAGCATTGAAACTGTCAAGTATTAAAATCTCAGTTGTGAAAGGTGTATTTGCTTTAGCTACACTGAGTTCCTGCTGTTACGCCTGTATTTTTAACATAGTTAATTTAAACAGTGAGTTCATAATTTGACACAGGAGCAAACACTTTTCTGTTCAACTTAGAGGTAATGCAATTACTGTAATGTCACACAAATGTGAATCATTTGACATTTAAGTGACATTGCACAGGCCTGTGCTCACTGTTGTTGTATACTGTATATGCAAATTTTCTTCTTACACCCTTTAAAATTAAAAGGATCTCAAGAGTCCCTGTGAGGCTCTGGAAACCCCTACTGGGAGTCAGCACTGCTGGTTGGGGGAAAGGTTGTATCCTCTTGGATAAATTCAGAAAGCTCCTGCCAGTCTGGATTGAAAACTTTTCAACACTATGAGGTAATATTTAGAAGACATAAAGTGCAAGGACTAGTTGACGTGGTCCAGATTTGCATCAAATAGATTAGACTGTTGCTAAAAGAGCTGAGCCCAGGAAACACAAGGTGGTCAAGGAGAGGCAGGGTGCAGACAGACTGTATGTACAGCTGATAAAGTATCATAAGCAGAGGAGGATATAGGACAGTAACGCGACACACCAAGCAGTGTCAACAGAAAAAAAATAGATGGGTAAATCAGGCTCAGACCAGATGAGTCAAATAGCAGATAGAATGATTAAAAGTGAGTGCGCTACCACTCGCTCAACCTTCCTTGACACCCCTCCCCTTCCTCACCTCCCAGTTTTTCCCACCTTGTCCCTCCCACTTTCCCACCCACCTACTTTACCCAAACACCCCCAGCAGCACTTGGGAGGCTATTTTTTGCCATGCTTCACTAAATAAGGCCGTGGAGCATGGCTGCACTGGTGGGCTGCTGGAGGTGTGTTCCTACCTTGGTATAAAAACCCTGGGACGGTGGGGGTTTCCTCCGATTATGCTGAACCTTTCACTTGTCCCCCCCCTCCCGTCACAGTGTTCTAACCTGCTTTCATCTATTTCTGACACTCAAATTGAAAAAAAAGAAAATCAATGCACAAATATTGCCTGTGAAAGGTATCAGATGACCTTTTTATCCCTGAGGCTTTTTTTTCCCTTTTTTTCTTTACACTAACAATTTGATGTCAAAGTGTTAAATTTTTTTGTAGTCTTTCTTTCATCTTTTTGTTTCGGAGGAATTGCTTTCACCGACCCCTGGACGGTGTATCTGGGAAGTGGCTGAGTGGAATACGGGAGCAAAAGGACACAAAAGACAGGAAAGAGTAAGAGATGTTTGAGTTTACTTTTATTATCTGGCCATTCCACTGCTATGTTTACCTCCCTTCTTTCTTTTAGTGGTTTTTCCTAACCTTTCATCCATCCAAACCTTTCCTGCTTTACCTCCCACCACGCTTTCCTTCCTTGCTTTCATCACCTTTCCCTGACTTCTTTTTGTCCTTTTCCTCATTTTCACTGTTCCATACATCCCATCTTCTCCCCCTTTTTTTTCTTTTTTTCCCTCTTCATCCCTTCCTCTTTCTTATTTCTGCCTTTAATTCTCCTGCCTCTCCTCCTCTTGCTTCCCGTTCTTCCAGCATTTTTGATTTCTTTAATCTACATTATTTTTCCTGTCCTGTCTCTCTTCTCTCACTCTTTCATTCTCTCAACCCCTCCCTCCCTCTGTCCCTTTTCCCGATTTGTCCTTCAGCTCTGTCAGCACTCACTATCTCGCTCCATCTCCTTCTCTGGCAGTCCGATCAGCTGTCTTCCTTCTAACTTTACATGGCCTGGTGTGGTGCGAAGGGACGGGCAGCTGCCGGCTGACGCATTTCACTGCCCAGTCATCAGTTCAAAATCGAATCCTCTTACACAAACCTTTATGCTTTTATTTTTTTCCAAGGCCACTATTTTTGCTCTCTTGTCTACCTGCGGGCTCCTATGTGGTTTTTTGGGGGGTTTTTTTCCCTGTCTTGGGCTGCCTGCGTTTTCCCCCTCCTCTTCCTCCTCTTCCTTTTTCATCCAGCAAGAGAGAGAGGCAAGTCCCGTGACCCTCTTCTTCTTTTCTCTCCTCTCCTCTCTTTTCACTCCTCCTCCTCCTCCTCCTCCTCTTCTCTCCGCATCCTTAAACTCTCCATCGCTGATTCAGCTCCCAGGGAGGAGAGACTCCGCCTGCAGCGACCGCTTCACTCCGCATGGGTCACCATCCCTATCTGGATCACCTTTACTACGGTAGGTGCAGAAGTGTCCCTGTGTGTGTTTAGATATTTGTAAAATAAGTGTTTTTCCGAATGCTTACTCACTGCATATATTTGTGAATGTGTGTTTCTGCTTGTGTGTGTCAGTGTGCTTTAGTCCCGACCACCTTCACACACTGTACAGTGTTTTGGGGGGTTTTGTATTTTTTTTAAGTGGCTAGTTTAAAAAAAAAAAAAAAAAGGACAGATTGTGAGTTAGGTGAAAAGAGTCTTCTTGTTTATTCATTGTTCCACTCCTTGTTAGAATTATGCTAGCTGAAAAAGCACTACAGCTGCAGCATGTTGGCAAAAAAATGTCTTCGCACATACACACAGGGGTAAAAGGTCAAGGGTTATTTTGAGGTGTCGCGCTGTAATGTATCAATAATTTAAAAATGTATTGATATTCAGTAAAATCATGAAGAATGAAAGTGTTCATGGGAAACAACACAAAGTCTTACTTTGTGAATTATAAATTTACACAGTGTACACTGAGTGATCACTTACAAACAACCTCAGTTTTCTACCTTTATGTGCAGAATAAATTTACTTAAATTCATCCAAGTATGAGCAGGTACATGACACACATGTAAAGTCATCCTACCACGTGAGCATCTCCCTATATTTCCACTCCTTCATGCTCCACTACAGCACCATCATTTTTTCTTCTGAAGTTGTTCTGGGTTTTTGTAAATATGTCTTTGGAAATATCCTACTGCTTCTTAGGCAGCACGTGAACCACAACATCTAAAACCCAGCAATGGAACATAGTGTGGAATTGCATGGTGTTGATCCAGTGCGGTCCTGCTCTGTGTGCTATATTTGCCTGCAGGACAGGTGAGTTTTATCAGTCAAAACACCACACGGATGTGTTCTAATGTGCCCCAGGGTTAAGCTCAGTGTCAGTGCAAGCCGTCCAAACAGGGCCTCAGCTCTATCTATAGACGGGACACACACATGTGTCACTCTCCAGAGAGAGAGGCAGAGAGGAGGTTTAAAGTAGAAGCAAGGTTCTAAAAGTGTCTTGCATATGCTCCCATCCTTCTCTATCTTTTCCCCTCTCTCTCTCTCTCTCCATTTCTCCTGCTGTCCAGGCTAATTTTACCCAGTTAGCAGATACCAGGGAGATCAGCAGTGGTCAGCTGTCTGTCAAGCATCCGGAGCCCTGACAGGCTTCATGGTGAATTGCTGGAGGTGGCGAAGTGTCGGGTATCCCAGCCCAGCCCTGCAGGGGACCGCCTGCATGGTTGTAGCTGTTATAGCAGACACGCAGCTGTCTGAAGAGAATCTGTCTGGCAATCATTCTCCCGCTGTGTGAAACTTAGCTTTATATGGTGTTAGCTTATCTGTGAATGCTGTGAGTGTACAGACAGGAGCGAGGTTTGTTAGGGGGTCTGTGTTTAACTCCTTTATCGTGATGGAAGATGCTTTTGATACTTCACCCTACTCTAAGGATTACAGAAGTCATGCCAGATGTTGGCAAATTTCATTTGATTCCTGCCAACCTGTGTATCACAACACCGTGCGAGTGTATATTACATACTTACCTTATCTTGCAATCTATAGCAGTTGGCTATTTCTCCTTGGAGAATTTTAATTCCTGCCTGGAATATTGTAATGGTGATGGCACAGAGACCAGAGTGGACAGGCAGCTTAATTCTTCGTAATGTGTCTATGTCTCGAGCTGGGCTGGGGTGTGCACGTGTGCAAAGCCCCCTCGTTTACCAGCGCTGGCCGGTGATTTACAAAACCTTCGTTCTATTGCTGGGAGAGAAAAGAGGGGAGGAATGAGAGAGAGGAAGAGAGATGAGAGGACGAGTGTGATTTATGGAAGAGACTTTTAGTTTAATTACTGGGCGGGCAGGGCTGATGTGTGCAGCCCCCATGGCACTGGTTACACAGTGGTAGGAACACACAAAGGAGCTATTGGGGGGCTACAGAAGATGACATATTCACAGAGGTTTTGCAGCTGCTGTTGATATACTCGGCCAATTTGTGTGTTTTAAGTGCAGGAAAGGACACAGCAGTCAAATTATACAGCATGGAAAAGCAATATACAGTACCTGTGCAGGCAGAAAAGGCATGTACATCGCTGCTTTTAAAAAAATATCCATTTTCCACTTGACTGTGGAGCCACTTTCATATAGAAAATATGCGTCTTTTGTCCTTTGCATGTAAACAAATAGAATATTATAGATAGTTGTAGAGGGAGTATTGTGCTGTGTCAACAGTCCACCTTAATACGAACTTTCATGGAGATTTCATTACCTGTAATTGTCATTCAAGGTGAAAGTTTGACAGACCAAAGAAAATGAAAGACCTCCTGATGTTGCAGTTTGGCGAAACTTCCAGGAGCTGGGGTGTCAGAACATGCCTCGTGTTTTTTTTTTTTTTTTTAATGTTTTAATCAACATTTTTGCCTGAATTGAACAGTCAGACAGAGAAAAATCTTCCTTCCCTCCTTCATGTTACTCTCAGCTTATCTTCTGTAACTGCTTTCTTATTTGGTGAATATCTGAAGGGGAAGCCCAGTTGGAAAACACACACACACACGCACGCGCGTAAAGACACACACTCTCCCAATAACCATTATATGCTTCCTACTGCTCCCGCCATAGGTTTTCTTAACGCCTCTCTCAGAGCCTTCATTAGATGCCTGACGTTAGCAATGGTTCAATTCATTAAAAGCGCGACTCAGCCTTTGTGCATTTGCCTATAAATTGGTATTGATCTCTGAGAGGACAGGGAGGGGTGGGGGGGGCAGCAGAGGGAGGCAGCAGAGGAGGGTGAGGAGGCGTATCTGTGTGTGTGTGTATATGTGTGTGTTGGCGGGGGGGTTTGCTGCTTGCGGATCAAAGGTTGAGGCTAATGGGAGGGGGCAGGGGGGGTCTCAGGTGAATGAGATTCACTGAAGCAACAAGGGCAATTGAAGACGCACACACACACACACACACACACACACACACTCTTTATGCACGCTGACATGCATTTAGAGATACACACACACAACTTGTATTGACATTCCTTTAGTCGGCTCTGGCTGCACCACCCCCCTCCCCCTCCCAAAAGTGTCCACGTGCCACGCCACATATGCCAATCAAACCTCATCATCGCTGCCGTCTGCTCAGCATGGAACTGTAACGCTACTGTAGTTTGAGTGGAGGAGAGGCAGGGGGGAGAGATGGGGTGAGAGAGAGAGACAATGAGAGCACATGCAGTATATAGAGGGGAGTGGGCAGCGAGGGGGATGACTGCATAGCATGTCAGCCTATAGACTGCATGGGACGGTGTGTGTGAGAGAGAGAGAGAGAGAAGGTGGGAGATGGGGAAAAAAAGAAAGAAAAAAAAAAAAGAAAGAGGAATTGCTCTCAGTGGCGGAGGACCGGTGGGACGAGCAGCTGTGCGCCGGACTAAAAGTTTTCAGTGTGAGGAAGAGGGAGAGATTAAGGAGAGGAGAGAGAGAGAGAGAGAGAGAGAGAGAGAGAGAGAGAATCAGAGGGAGAGAGTGTGGTGAAACACAGAGAGAGAGACTGCAGAGGCAGCACCTGGGACACAGACTGAGAGAAGAGAGAGCGAAGCACTTCTTCTTCTTCCCAGTCTCCTTTTCTTCTCTGCTCTTGCTTTATTGCTTCTTCTCTGTGGTGCATCGGCCCCGGCTGGCTGAAGCAAGATGGGTGGTGAGGAGAGGGAGGGGAGGGAAGAGGAAGAGGAGGAGAGGAGGAGGAGGTGTGTGTGTGTGTGGGGGGGGTTCTAGCCAACATCTGCCTGTAGGTAAGTGCAACATCTCCCTCATTTCCCTTCATTCTCTAACCTCCCCCTCCTCCTCCTTCTCCTCCACCTCCTCCTCCTCCTCCTCCCGCTGCAGCTGTACCTCTAAGCATGGCACTCAAGGTGAATCGTGTGTGTCTGTCTGAGAAACTGCTCCATATCGTACAGTATGTCAAAGCTGAGCGGACACATGGTCGCCACACAAAACTGTGGTGTTGCAGCTTAATGTGCTCAACAGGGGAGGAGGAGGGTCGATGTAAATGTTTGTACAGTGAAATGTGACTTCTTGATGTTGGGTATAAATTAGTGACATAGCTTGTGTTAGTTGTTTTTACAAGCTTTGGTCAAGGGCTGCATGACGGGTCATGAGATCGAGCTGGGCCATTTTTAAAGCGGCGAGAAAAGTTTTTTTTTAAAGAGTGTATTAGTATGAAGTTGTGTTTTTTTTTATTTTTTTTTATTCCTAAGCGATGTCTACATGACTGAGTGGAGTGGACCTTCTGTTGAAGGATCACAGGGTGGGCTATGTGTGTTCTGCGTGGATCCTGATTCAACATTTTTTCCTCTCGGTTGAGCGTGTTGTGGGGGGAGGAGCGGAGTGGAGAGCGTGGAGGTGGGTGTGGGGGGGCCTGATGCGCCACCAAGGACAGTGGCCTGCTTGGGGGACATACTTCTTTATATGCCCATATGAACAAGAGCAACTATGGAATGTAAAGAAGTATGTATCCCAGGTCGGGAGAAATTGCAGCGCCGCATCTGAAAGAAACTCAAACGTTTAAAAACGCAAACTTAGCCGCAAAGCGAGTCCACCGCATGGAAACTCAGCAGAGAAGACGGTTCATTTCCACACATTAGCCTTAGATATTCATATATGCACTCTCCATGTACATTTGCAGTGTGTATGTGTGTGTCTACTTTTTTTTTTTTTTTGTCCGCCCTGATGTGGGCCAGTTGAGTCCAGTCAGCTTGGTGCTGCAGAGAGATGCATGCAGTAGAGAAGCGTAGATGCAGCTGCAACTCCGGTCAGCACTTTCCTCTTGCCTGCAATAGATTTTTTGGATATCTCTTTCAAGCCTGAGTTTATTTGTGGAAAAGCAGACTTATTTCCTACTGGCAGTGATTTCAAGAACACTTCTTCCTTCTTTGTTTGGGATGCACCTTTTTTTTTTTTTCAAGCGTTTTAGATTGGATTGTGTGAATTTGCTAATGCTACAAAATTCCACACAC